CCATCCATCCACCCATCCATCCACCCACCCATCCATCCATCCATCCATCCATCCACCCATCCATCCATCCATCCATCCATCCATCCATCCATCCATCCATCCATCCCATCCCATCCCATCCCATCCCATCCCATCCCATCCCATTCTGTCATGTATCAGTGTCATCATGCTGGTTTACCTTGTTGTACATCTTCTCCCAGCTCTCTGAGCAGCTCCTCTCTGGCCTCATTCTTCTGGTGTTTGTGTCCGTTGTAGTGCTCCAGGGCCTTCTGTGGATTGTTGAACAAGGCAACACACAGACTACAGTACTTGTTGGGGTCTTTAAGGTCGACGTCTGTGCCACAGGAAGCTGAAGGAAACGGGGGTGTTGAGGTGGGTGTTGGATCCAGGTGAAGCTCCACGTTTTCCTCTTGGACTAATTTCGGCACAAGGTTTTCATGAGCCTGAACTATTGAGTGCTTGGCTGTAAAGTTATTAGGAAATGATGAAATTCTGGTTAGTTTTGAGTTTTTAATCCTTCAGTAAACTGAATTAACATGTGAAAAACATTTATTTAATGGTGAAAACTCCAGACTTCTTTTCTCAAGCAGCACTTGCCTGAAGGTTGAAGAGTTTGTTTACGAAGATTTTTCGCATGGACTTTGCCTTGATAGTGCGATTTTGCCACTATGCTGGAACTAAACACCATGTTGCACAGCTTGCAGAAACGATTTTTATCACTGGGCATGGCACGCTGCAAAAAAACAACTATATTTTGGCAAGTCGTAAAACAGCACAATCACTCCTGCACAAAATAAACTGAACACGAAGAGTAAAGTTACACTGATGTAAGTCTGACCACATTCTAGCTTTTAATCACAGATGTGCATCTTTTGTGTTTAAGGAATTAATACAATCAAGTTTATACGTCTTATAATAATACACAACATTTAAGTGCTCATTTCTTATATTTAAATAAAAAATACTGTACCCAAAGCAAACAAATACTAACTTTGGCTCCTGTGGTCTTCTCTGCTCTTGCAGCTTCAAGGAAAACTTGGACTTTCTGAGCATGTTTTTTCCCCTTCGGTGCGAGAACACAAGGGATTATTAGACTCAAACCTTGTTGGGTCAAGAAAACGGTCTCAGTGTTTACGTCTGCTTACCTCATAGTGAGTCGCTCGGTGGGATTCAAGCTTCAGCTGGGTGGAGCACACGTGGCAGTAAGTGTCCGTGAGGAAAGCCTTCAGGAACTCCTCGTCACTCTGTTCTCCTGAGTGACAAAATGGCATTTTTTTAAAATTTATTTAAGAAAGATTATGACAAAATAACAGTGAATGGCATTTTTGATTTACTCTACGATGGAAACAATATAAAAACTCCAAGCACATTTAGCTTCTTACCAAAACGCTTAAACAGAGTGAAACCTTGAACCACCTTGTTGCTCAGAGCCTGTCCATCTGGTCATTAGTTTGTTAAATCAAAGCAGGAAGTTAAAAGCCGAACAACACAATTTTCTTAGTTTGTAAGGTCTTTTGTCGAACACGGAAAACCTTATTTTTAATTTTATATTCCCACATAAGGTGGGAAACAGCTTCTTCGAAACTAACATCCAAAAATCTTACTTTATTCATAGATTAGTGTATAAATCCACTCAGTCCCATTTCATATATCTGATACAGAAACAATAAAGATGGCAATAAAGTTGTTTTTAGTTTTGATCTTGTTAATTTAATTAAATTCTGGGAAAAATGTACTATAGCAATACATTAACTAGAACAGTATGCAGAGCACCAGTACACACAACTAGAAATTATTATAGGAAACTTGAGATTTTAGTTTATGGTCTTAATTCTGGTTATTGAAGGCCTGACCCATACGTTTGCTGCTGATAGTTGTCTGGTTAATTTTGAGAACATGAAGCGGGTGAGCCCAGTTTGATTTCTAGATGAGCATTGATCAGTTTTCACTTTTGAAAAGCTCAGATCTGCTAATTTCTCTACAAGAACAACAATAAGTAGCATGATAAAAAAATCCCCCTTTCTCTTAATTTGTAGTTGAATTGAAAATATGTGCATTCATCACTAATGTGCTTCCTGGCTTTATTTTTACACACCTTACAGATATTACAAGTTATAAACTTTGAGGCCATAAAAATGTCCAACACTTGCTGCTAGTAATTCAAATTTCTGCTTACATTGCTTTCATGAATTAAAAACATTTAAATAACAATAATAATGGTTTTTGATTTTCAAGCTGAAAATCAGCCTTTTTCAGTCGCCGGCCGACTGATTGTTGCATCTTTAATCATTTTAGTTCACCATATTATCCTGTTCTCATGAAGAACTTGTGCCAAAAATAAACAAAAACTAAATGAAACACAATTACCTAAAATAAAAATAAAGCTGAAAAAAAAAAGTTAATTTAAGAAAATCAGTTTGGTTTTCAAAACTGAGTTTGTATTTATGATCTTTGGAGACAATATATAGCTCCTAAAACATATTGTAGTATTTCAACATCCATGTCCTGTACATGCATTTATCTGGTAGTTTGTAAACTAATGAAATATTTGCTTATTCTTTTGATCTCTGAATCTATAAAAATGAAGTTTTTAAACTGCTTTTAAAATATGGCTGACAAACAGGAATTTATAACCATGGATTTTTACAAAAGTTGAAATTTGACAAATAGTTTTATAATAATAACAAGGTCATGAAAATCAACAAAATCTAGAACTGCCCAAAACAAGTATGTTCTCTAACATTAAAAGATTTACTCTCCAAATGACAGCTGCCAGTTAACACTGGGAAAATACTGTGTTCCAGAATGATTAAAAGCTTTTATTCACATTTTAAGTGGCTGTTTTTCTTACTAGGTTGTTTAGAGGTCACTTTTTGAGATGTGGATCTTCACCTTACCAAGAATATTTATTACATTTTGCCATAAGCAAGTTTGCTTCTCTTTTAGCTTGTTAAGCAGCTTGTTATTTATAATCTGTTTCGATCAAACAAACCTTATTTTAGACAGTTTAAACACACATTTTCTGTAAGCTTTTATTTGGTTGATTTTGTTGGGGCCCTACTTCGCAAAACCTTGATCACAAATCAGACACGAAAGACGGTCCCATCTTTAATCAAACATTGACAGCAGCTGTTAGCATAATTAGCCAAGAAGCTAACTAGCTCGACCAGCTAGTTAGCCAGTTAGCTAAAACGCTAACGCTGCCTCGAATTTTTACATTCCAGTCACAACTCACCTTTAAACAGGGTGCTATCAATTTTACTGTTTATTACTTTATCAGCACCTACGACAGAGGAAGTATTAGGGGAGCCACTAACGCTGCTATGAGAGTCTGACCCAGCAGTTAGCAGAGTACAGACATTAAAATCCTCCATGTTTTTTTTTATTCTGGAGCATGCGCAGTTACGTCAGTATGTGTGTGCACAGTTGTGATACGTAGTGTGTCTGAGTGTGTGTACTGTCTGTGACTAT